GTGAATGTGTACCCTTCGAGGTATTCGCGCATCTTGCGGATGCCCCAGACCACGGCCAGGCACTCCAGTTCGGTGGCGCTATAATTCTTTTCGGCATTGTTCAGGGTTCGACTGGCGTAGGCGACGACTTTTTCTCCCTCTTCAGTCTCCTGGGTCAGTACGGCTCCCAGGCCGGACTGGCTGGCGTCGGTTTGGAGAGTGAATCGTTGCGCAAAATCTGGACAGGTCAGCACTGGTGCGGTAATGAGAGCGTCTTTTAGTCGTTGGAAGGCGTCGGCCTCCTCGTCGTGCCACCTCCATCGTTCTTTCTTCTTGGTCAGCCGCGTGAGTGGGGCTGCGAGCCGGGAGAAATTCGGTACGAAGCGGCGGTACCACGATGCTAGGCCTAGGAATTGTCGCACTTTCTTCACGTTGGTGGGTGTGGGCCATGCGGCAATAGCGCTGGTCTTCCCAGGGTCGGTGTGGATGCCTTCCTTGTTGATCAGATGACCGAGGTATTTTATCTGGGCGCAACAAAACTGGCATTTGTCGACGTTGAGTCGCAGCCGGGCCTCCCGAAGGCGACGAAACACTTCACGTAAATGAGTGAGATGCTCCTGGAAGGTGTTACTCAGCACGATGATGTCATCGAGGTACACCAACACGTTTGGTTCGAGGTCCGGGCCGAGGACAGTGTTGACCAATCGCTGGAAGGTGGCAGGGGCAGAGTGTAGTCCGAATGGCAATACCCGGAACTGCATGAGTCCGCGCCCGGGTACCGTAAAAGCTGTGATTCCCTTGCTGTTCGGAGTGAGCGGTACTTGCCAGTACCCGTTCTTTAAGTCTAAGGTGGATAGGTATTTGGCCCCTCGCAGTTTATCCAGGGTAGCTGTGATTTGTGGCAACGGGTATGCATCTCTTTCGGTGACTTCGTTGACTTTCCGAAAGTCAATGCAAAATCGATAACCGCCGTCCTTCTTCCTTACGAGTACCACAGGGGAGCTCCAGGCACTGCTGGACGGTTCAATCACCCCGTCCTCCTCCATCTGTTGCACTTCCTCGTCAATGATGCGTTGCATCGCCGGATTCCGGGGTCGGTATCGCTGCTTGATCGGCGCGATCCCCTGGCGTAACCGAATTTCGTGCTGGATAGCGGAGGTAGGTCCGGAGACGGTGTTGAGTTTTCCTAGTTCCGACCGCAGAAAAACTTGTAGTTGCTCGTCGTCTGTTGTGGCGATTGGTTGTCTGAACGCCTCGACTACTCCAACTGTACGGGTATGGTCGGTGGTAGGGAGGGGCGGGGGTTGTAGAGTTAGTCCGAGGCGGGACCACAAATCCATGCCGATAATAATTGGCGTGGTCAATTTCTCCATGACCGTAAAACGGTGATGGAACTGTTGCGTTCCTACCCAAAATATTAGATGGGTGGACCCGCAGGTGGCAACCCGGGTGCCGTTGGCTAAGGTTACCCATGAGCTGGGTCCGAGGGGTTGATCCTCGGGCCTCAAACTTTCGGCGCTTACCAGGGAGGTTTCTGCTCCAGAGTCAATTAGTGCCCTAAAAGGGCGATTTTGGTAGCGCACGGTTATACTGGGGCGCGGCGTGTATGTTATGCGTGGGACCGGGGAGTGTCCGCTCCGTCCTCGGTCACGCCCGCGTTTCCCGGTGGCGGATGGCACTGTTTTGTGAGCACCCCCTCTTTTCCGCATCGCGAGCAGAACTTAATGGCGGGTTGATCGCATTCCTGTCGCTGGTGTCCGGGCTGTTTGCACCGCCAGCAACATGCCTCGCGATCGTATGCCATAGTGGCTACGGTGGGTCCGCTTAACCGTGGGGGTTTCCCCTGGACGCGTTGCTGTCGGGTCAGTTCCTCGTACTTGCGGGCTAGCCGGCCGAGGTCCTTGATATCCCGTGCCTCATAGGCTCCGAGGAACATTTTATAGCCTGGGTCTAGATTATCGTATAGACGGCCCAGCGTATTATTTATTTCGTCGTCGTCGCCACTGCGTCGGATCAAGGTGAGTAGTGCATTTTCATACTCTCTATATGATTCGTGGGGCCGTTGTCGACGCTCGACGATTTGGCGTCGCATTTCCTCGCGGTATCGAGGCGGTAGATAATGCTCGCGGAAAGCAGCGCAGAAATCGTCCCAGTTGTGCCAGCCAGGACGGTGGTTCCGATACCAGAGTAGCGGTTCTCCCCGCAGCATCTCTGGAATTCCCCAAAACAGCTGTCTGGTGGTAAGCCCATAGCATACACGGAGCTCATCAATCCGTTCTAAAAAGTTAAGCGGGTCCTTCCCTGTAAACTTGCAATCCCACTTATGGATTTCATGGATTGCCTCTGCGTCGGTGGGGGCTTTGTCCGCCGGATCCCATCCTGGTATTTGTTCGTCCTCCGTGCTGGCGGCACTGGGTATATGAAGGGGGCTAAGCACCCGTCGGTCGGTAGGTCGGGTGAGGAATAATCCGGGGTTCTCGGTCACGAAACGGCGGAGGCGTCGTCGGAGGTCATCGATAGTGCCGCTCGTGTCCAGTCCATACTGACCGAGTCGGTGACCAATTTCCGCCTTATTAAGCTCTTGTATCCAGGCTCTTGGGGCGGTACTCATCTTGAGTTTCGTTGGTTCCCTTGTCTCCACTTATCGTGCAACACACACCTTCCCTTTAACTGCCGGATCCTGGCAGGATCGCCATGTAACGGTCGCGCCTCCAGGCTCGGTTGTTTCGGGTAGATCCGGCCCTGTGGCTTGGATCGCGGTTTGCGAGCCGACCACAGGAAAGATTTTCAGGTGAAGGTGTGTGTGGTGTGTGTATGTGTCAATAAAGGAAGACAAAATAAGTATAACACAATAAGTCTTTATTTGGTCGCACGCTACGACCGCGTGTTGCGGCGCGACGTCCCAATGTTTGGGTGTTAGAGGATTGCGTGAATCGTTTCCGCGGACACTACGAGCCCCGCGGGGTCACCGTGGTTGGTGAGCGATTTGCTTGGAGCTTACTTTCGGTAATTAGTTCAGCCGGCGCGTGACCCGCAATGAGGGTCGAGCCGCTGATTAGTGACCGCGCGATGTGTATTCCGGTGTGGTTTAAAGCGCTAGTTTGCGTGATTCGGCACGCGACTTGACGACAGGTTGAAAAAAAACGGCGCAAGAACGCGTCGCGACACGTCGCGCTCGCTTTTGTCCTCGGCCGCGGCGTTGGTCGCCCCGGGGGTCGAGGGGTACGGGCGATGGGAGGATTCCGGGTGTGCTGGACCGACGCGTCAACTCCCAGCTGATCAGCTCTGGCCTTCCTGGCGTCCTATTTGGTGAAATTATGAAAGAGATATCGTGAGATCGTTCCGGTGAACACACCGGAGCGACGGCAAACTCGCCGTCCGATCCTTATATCGTAAAGACAGCACAACAGAAAATCGTTCTGGTGAACACACCGGAGCGACGGCGAACTCGCCGTCCGATCCTTATACCGCGGAGACGGCACGAAATATCGCAAAGACGGTACAAAATAAGACCGTTCCGGTGAACACACCGGAGCGACGGCGAACTCGCCGTCCGATCCTTATATCGCGGAGACGGCACGAAATATCGCAAAGACGGCACAAAATAAGACCGTTCCGGTGAACACACCGGAGCGACGGCGAACTCGCCGTCCGATCCTTATATCGCGGAGACGGCACGAAATATCGCAAAGACGGTTCGAACGAAGATCGTTCCGGTGAACACACCGGAGCGACGGCAAACTCGCCGTCCGATCCTTATATCGCGGAGACGGCACGAAATATCGCAAAGACGGCACAAAATAAGACCGTTCCGGTGAACACACCGGAGCGACGGCGAACTCGCCGTCCGATCCTTATACCGCGGAGACGGCACGAAATATCGCAAAGACGGTTCGAACGAAGATCGTTCCGGTGAACACACCGGAGCGACGGCGAACTCGCCGTCCGATCCTTATATCGCGGAGACGGCACGAAATATCGCAAAGACGGTTCGAACGAAGATCGTTCCGGTGAACACACCGGAGCGACGGCAAACTCGCCGTCCGATCTTTATAGCGCAAAGAACAGGTATTATTAATCACCGTCGTAGACGGCCTGGTAACTCACTTACGAGTTTCGGCAGAAGCTTCTCGGTTGATCCTCTCTTGGAAAGAACTAGTCGTGGAGACGGAACTCTGGAGACTCTCCTCTTGTCAAAATCTGCCGGGGTTATATACCCGAGATTTTGGGGCTTCGGTTTTCTTCGCCCTTAATCGGAGTTAATTCCTTTTTAATCGGAATTAATCGTGATTATGCGGCGTTTGCCGAATAACTTCGGCGGGGCCGCTCGCTCGGTTCGGCGGCCGATCGTGCCCGAGCGTCGTTGCCGGGTAGTCGGGCATCTTCGGCCGAGCGCGATGTGTCGGCGCGGTGTCAGCGCGGGTCGGGGGGTGTGCGCTCAGCTGACTGTCGCGTGCTACTAGGTGGCAGTCAGCGTAACGGCACAAAAATCTTTGTGTCGTTACAGTTCCACCGTAGACGCGATTCGGCGTCTGCGGTCCCTCTCGGAGGCCATAGTGCAGGAGGGCGGGGTGGCGGTGGCGGTGTCCTTGGACATCGCCAACGCATTTAACACCCTGCCCTGGGGTAGGGTGGTGGAGGCCATGGAGGGCCACTTCCAATTCCCACCCTACCTCGTGGCCGTCGTCAGGGATTACTTCCGGGGTCGGCGTCTAGCCTGGAGAGACGCCGACGGCAAGGTATGCGAGAGGGGCATGAGTTGCGGGGTTCCACAGGGGTCCGTTTTGGGCCCCCTCCTGTGGAACCTCGGTTACGACTCTGTCCTCCAAACTGCCCTCCCCCCCGGCTGTAGCATCATCTGCTACGCAGATGATACGCTCATCTTAGCCGGAGGGAGAGACTGGGGGGAGGCCGCAAGAACGGCCAACTTCGCGGTGACATGCGTCGTGCGCTCTATTCGCAGACTGGGCCTGGTGGTGGCGGAAAGGAAAACGGAGGCGATCTTCCTCCATGGCAGGAGGATGAAGCCACCCCAGGCCCAGATAAGAGTAGGAAGGGTCAGGGTCCCAATAGAGGCCCAGATGAGATATCTGGGCCTCACCCTGGACGGCACCTGGTGCTTCAAGCAACACTTCAATCGCCTGGTCCCCCGGTTGAGGGCTGTCTCGAGTAGAGTCAGCAGACTCATGCCGAGAACCGGGGGACCGGATGGGAAGGCGCGTCGCCTCCACGCTGGGGTACTAAACTCGGTGGCCCTTTACGGGGCACCGATATGGGCGGAAGCCCTGGCCGTCAGTCGCCCTATACAAGCAACCCTGCGCAGGGTGCAGAGAGCGCTGGCGGTCAGGGTGGCCCGCTGTTACAGAACAGTATCCCACGTGGCGGCGACGGTCCTGGCGAGCATGCCCCCCCTGGAGCTCATGGCCCTTTCGTACATGAGAATGTACGATAGGAAGCGTGAGCTCCTGCGTATGGGGGGGGCGGAAGAACCGCTCGCCAGGACAATCAGAAGGATGAAGCACCAGACTCGACAGGTCCTCCTTCAGAGATGGCAGCGATCCTGGCTAATGCCAGGTACGGAAGGAGGACCGTCGAGGCCGTCCGGCCCTTCCTGCCAGAGTGGGTAGGAAGGGCCCACGGGACCTTGACCTTTAGGATGGCACAGGTGCTCACCGGGCATGGATGCTTCGTTGAGTACCTGTGCCGTATAGGCAAAGAGCGCACGGCGTCATGTCGCCACTGCGGACACGACCATGACTCCGCGCAACACACACTCCAGGACTGCCCCGCCTGGAGTGCCGAGCGCGGAGTCATGGTCAGGGCCTTGGGCCAGGACCTCTCACTCCCGGGGATAGTCGGGGCGATCCTCGGGAGTGAGAAGAGATGGGATGCGTTCTCCTCCTTCTGCGACTCGGTAATGACGCAGAAGGAGGAGGCTGAAGAAGCGCGGAGAGAGGCAGAGGGTAGGGGAAGGAAACGGCGGCGGCGCGAGAGACACCGCCAGTGGAGGGCGGGGAGAAGCAGGAGTAGGGAGGGGGACGTTGATTCCTCGGAGGAGGATGAGCTCAGGAGGATGGTGGGCCAACCACCACCTCCTCCACCTCCTCCCCCCCTCCCCCTCCTGCTCCCCCACAGGCACAAGCAGCGAGACGGGGAACCCGCAGGGGGCACGGTGCCCCCCGTGGAAACCGGAGAGGAGTCGGAGACGGAAGGGTGGCGGTGGTGGTTTTGCGCCGCCTCACCCCCCTAATGGTGGCGGCAGCCATGCTGACCGCCCCCCCAGCAGCAGGGGTGATTGCGGCGCCACCACCGCCGCCACCCCCCGCTGTCCCACCAAGGGCAGCGACGACGGGAGAAGGTAGCGGGTGGAGGGCCCGGCTCAGGCCTAGGCCCTACACCCGCAGACCGCCGACCCCATCGAAAAAAGGGGTTGGATGAAAGTAAGGGGGGGAGAGGGCATCGATGATAAGGAATCATCGAAACAAATGCCCCTCCCCCCCTTAATCGCAAGTCCGACAGACCAGTCGGACATGCGGGAGGGGGGTCGCTAGGACCCCCCGCCCCATTCCTCCGCGGAGGTGGGGAGAGCCCGGCGGCTAGGGGAGTAGATCTCCCCGCAACCGCCGGGCGGGAGGGTGGGGCACCGGGCGGGGACTCCCGGTGCCCCAACCAGCCCTCCCAAGGTAGGGTGGCTGGCTGATACGGTGGGTCAGTCAGCCACACAACGTGTTTTGGCGGCGCCTCGTCTGGTCGGGAACGGTGGTGAAGCGGGCCTCGGCCGGCTTCCCCCCTCCCGACCGAAGAGACGAGGCGTGAGGGGTGGGAAAGGGGAACGGCGGTCGAAGCGGGCCCTCGGGCCGGCTTCCCCCTTCCCCTGGGGGAGCGGCGGTCGAAGCGGACCCTCGGGTCGGCTTCCCCCCTCCCCCCCCCGCCCCTCAGGGACAGAAGGTGCAACATCTGGACTCGGGGCCCCGATCAGCAGTTACACGGCACCGGGGCCCCGAACCAAGTCCCTTCGCAGCGCCACCCGGGGAGGTTTTAGCCGGTAGGAGTCCGGCATAACCCTGGCCCTTCCCCGAGGGTCAGGGTATCCATGATGGATTTCCTCCTCGTCAAAAAAAAAAAAAAAAAAAAAAAAGGTTAGGTTCCTCCCCGTGGGTGCCACCTTGACGTGGTGGGGAGGCTTGAAGGTCCCGATGATGTACAGAGCTGTGCCGGCGGGGGTTTCGGCCCCTGGCAGGTTCTACCAAGCCGGAGTGGTCTGTACGGAGGGACTGGACCAAGAGCACCCGACCGGGCTGAGTGACCAGCCTGGTCCATGACCAGCACGGTCACAGAGCGGGTGGGAGGAGATCATCATCCCTGAAGGCATTGCACGCCGGTGCTCCGGCAGCCGACAGGGATGACCTCCTCCACACTCGCTCCAGGAAGGGGACCTCTCTCTCCGAGGCATTGCACGCCGGTGTTAGCCGGCAGCCGAAGAGAGAGAACCCTTTCCTCCCGCCTCGGTTGGACCGTTACGGTTAGACCGGGGCGGAGGGACGTACCCGCATCCAGGGCTCCACCCCATGGGGATCCTCCTCCCCCGTGGTGCCTGAGATGCGGAGGGGTACTCCGGGCCGCTCGGACGTTTCCGAGGTCGGGGTCGGGGTACGCTGCCGCGTCCTGAGAGATCCCACCCTCCTAGGCATTGCACGCCGGTGCTCCGGCAGCCGAAGAGGGGAGGATCTCTCTCCCTCGCTCGTCCCAGCCACGGCTGGGCGAACGAAGGATCCCACACCCGGGTCTGCACACCGTGCGGGACTATTCCCACGGTACCTGGGGGGTGGAGGGGATGTCCCGGGCCGCTCGGACTTATTCCGAGGTCTGGGTCGGGGCACCCTAGGGTGACGAGGGGAGAGGACCCCACCTTCGTTCGAAGGTGGACTCCCCGACTTCCCTCACCCGTTCGGCCTCGGTCGGACGGACAGAGGAACCCACACCCGGGTCTGCACACCGTGGGGCTTGCCCCACGGTACCCGGGGGGTGGAGGGGTGTCTCGGGCCGCTCGGACGTATTCCGAGGTCTGGGTCGAGACACCCTCATGCGCCATCAGAGGACTCATTCCCGGAGGCATTGCACGCCGGTGCTCCGGCAGCCGAAGGGAACGATCCTCTCCCTCATCCGTCCTGGCCACGGCCAGGCGGAGAGAGGTACCCACACCCGGGTCTGCACACCGCGAGGGTTTGGAACCCCTCGCGGTACCCGGGGGGTGGAGGGGTGCTCCGGGCCGCTCGGACGTATTCCGAGGCGGGGTCGGAGCCCCTGTGTGCTGTGCCCGAGGGAATGCGATCGCATCACCCTAAAGCGGACCCTCGGGCGGCGCGAGCACGCTGGCTGCCATGGGGGAGACGTTCCCGGTGGGGTGCGACACCGGTGAACTATCTCCTTCCATGGGGCCCCCCGCGTGGCGGCGCTCTGCACGGTGCCCACATTGTCGGAGGTGTGGGACCCCCGAAAGCGGTCTGGCCACCAGAGATGGTGGTCAGGGCGCGTGTAGGGGGCGGGAGGCCTGTGCCGACGATGTCATATTCCGTCGGCCCGTGCCATATGGTGCTCCTCCGGGGGAACTCGGAGGCTCCCCCTTGCCGGGGGGATGCGGGCATGCCCGGGCACCGGAGCCGTGCAGAGTGGTGGGTTACAAACGAAAATGACTGATTCCTCTTTTAATTCTTCTTCCTCGGACCTGGACAATATTAAGACGACCCTGGCAACGCAAAAGGACACGAACAAATTGGAGCGAGCATGCAGCTCCAAAAGGAAGGACGGGGATATCCCGGAGAGCCAACCTGGCGCAAGCCGGTTGCCGAAGAGAGAGGGACTCCGGAGTGCCAACAAGGGCAAGCAACGGAAACCCCGAGACAGGTCCAGCTCGTACTCGGACGAGGGTGAACCAACGCCTTCGCCCGATGTTACATCCTCGGACGAAGAAGACCACCCCGAAGGGAAGTGGGACATCCCCACTAAGTCAAACGGGGAAACGGACGACGAAAAGTTTGCCGAGAAGGCAACTCGTCCGAAGGGAAGACCCCGTACAACAGGGGAGTACGAGAAGAAGAAGATATTCCTGGCCAAAAAGGAGAGTTTACTGAAAACCCAGAAGGAGGAGAGCCTGATAAAGGGACTCGAAAATCCCACGCAGGCCTTTCAAGACTGCTCGACGAACAGGAAATACAGAGCAGAGCTCCATAGAATGACGGAGGATATGGAGAATGCTCCCTTCAGGGACGTAGCTGCCTCAATCCTGGAAGCGGCTACCAAAATCCTGGGATTTTCAGTTAGGTCGAGAAACCTAAAAGGGACATACGTGAAAATGCTACGAGATGCGTCGGCGGCCATTACAGCTGGGACGTCGACACTCGAAAAGAGAATGGCCATGGGACCAGGCGGGGAGGAGATGGATCTCCTGGACGAGCTCAGGGAGGAAAATCGTCAGCTCAAGGCATCACAGGAGCAGATGAAAAAGGAGATGGAGGAGATGAGGGAAACGCTCCAGAACATAAGAAAACACCACCAGCGAGGGCGGTGTCCCCCTCGCACCTGGAGCGCGGACAGGAAACACGTCCTGGTATAAAGAAGGCACCAACATCAATGGCGGTGGCCTCCTCGCCCAAGAAACGCGAACAAAACGTATTCCGTGGTGTAAAAAGGGTGCTGTCACCCGAGACGGCAACCCTCTCGCCCACGGAATACGTGAGTGAAGAGGAGAGGAGAAAAGGAACAAAGGAGAGGAGAATATTGCCTCCTTCCATAGATATGGAGGAAGAAGAGGATATGGTGGTTGGGGCAATCGAGGTTCAACGAGGGCTGATAAGAACAAACGTTCACCCCAAAAAGGAAGGGAAACCTAGGATCAGGGAAGACGTGAAACTAAACACAAGAGTGAGAGTGGATAGAGGAAGCCCACCAAGGAGAACCGAAAAGGAGAAAATTACTTCCATAGTCGAGGAGGCTATGAAACTATGGGAGGACAAAAACAAAAACAAGGCAGACCAGGGTCGCAACATAGAAACTGCCCATAAGAAAGAGAAAAAGAAAGGGGGAGTGCCAAACGGCCAGAAAAAACAGGGGCCACGACAACAGCCCAAGGCTCCACCACCACCCCCAAGGGAGGAATACCCACCCCTGCCGCAGAGGCCCCCAAGGTTCAATTCTGAACCCAAGGAATCTTGGGCGAAGGTGGTGGGTAGAAAGAAAGAAGGAGAGAAAGAAAGGAAAAGGAATGAAGGGAAGGGCTCTCCGCAAATAGTGGTAAAGGAGAAAAGCGCGAACAAAAAGAGCAAAAGGAGAGTCCCTAACACCGCGGCGATCTCGATCACTGCGGAAAAGGGAAAGTACAAGGAACTCTTAACGGAGGCGAAAAAGAAAATTAACATAGACGAACTAGGGATCTCCAAGATCAGGACGAGACAAGGTGTCACGGGAGCCCTGATCTTGGAGATCCCAGGTGAGGACCGCAACACACATGCGGACAACCTCGCCAAAAAACTAAGCGAGGTACTCGCAGAAAAGGCAAAAGTGACCCGCCCACAAAAAATGGGAGAAATAAGGATCAGGGGCCTAGAGGTGTCCACCTCAGAGGAGGAGGCTGCGCAGCGGGTGGCCCAAGCCGGTGGCTGCAGAGTGGCGGAGGTCCAGACGGGAGTCATAAGGACCACACCATCGGGCTATAGGTCGTTATGGATGAGGTGCCCGCTCGCAGCAGCCAAAAAAGTGGCGGAGAAGGGAACTCTATCTCTGGGGTGGACGCAGGTCAAGGTAGAGCTCCTGGAATCTAGGCCCCTGCAATGCTACAGGTGCCTTGAGAGAGGGCACGTGCAGCAAAATTGCAGCAACAAGGTGGACAGAAGAAACATCTGTTACAGGTGTGGAGAGACGGACCACCTAGCCCGCAGCTGCACAAAAGCAGCGAGGTGTGCTGTGTGTGCTGCGGCGGGAAAACAGGCGGGTCACCGAATGGGGGGGCCGGCGTGTCGCCCCCCCAACAAGAGGAGGAACCAAAAGAGGGATGAGGGGCAGGAAGCGGAGGCAGCCGCACCAATGCCACCAGCCCCCCCTTCTCCCTCTAAGGAGAGAACAGATGAAAGAGGGGACAAAGAGCAAGAGCCCTCCCCATCCATAGAATCCATGGGACCAGCTACCCCGATAAATGGACCACAAGAGAAAGGGGAGGATATGGATATCGAAAGGAGGGGAGAGAAGAGGCAGCGACCCGCAAGGAGAAGCGGGAGTGAGGAAGAGGAGGGGCCCGTGGAGAAATTGCTTATACACCTATAATGGATACACGGCTCCTCCAAGCAAATCTGCACCGCGCTCGGCAGGCACTACCGCTCTTCGAGCATACCATGACCGAGCGCGGTGCGGGATTGGGAATTGCGGCGGAGCCCTACAGAGTCCCCAAAAACCATCCGAGATGGTTCGGGGACAATCTGGGCTCCGTCGCAATCATTTGGAAAGCGGGCGGAAACTCTCCCCCCGCTACCTATGTGGGTAGCGGAGAGGGATTCGTCGTGGCCAGGTGGGGTGCCCTGATAGTGGTCGGGGTATACCTCCCCCCAACAAAGAGCCTGGACTTTCCTAGCTTTAAGTCCAGGCTCCGAGACATGGGGAGGGCCGTTAGACGGCACCTCCCCGAACCTGTCATCATCGCCGGGGACTTCAATGCGAAGTCGGAGACGTGGGGATCCCGGGATGGTGACAGGAGGGGGGAGGAGGTGGAAGACTGGGCCGCGGGCCTTGATCTGCACCTGCTGAACGAGGGACGCGAATCGACGTTCGTAGGGTCGCGGGGAGAATCGATCATCGATCTCACATGGGCTTCCCCCGCGGCCCTGAAGCGGGTGCGGAGTTGGAGGGTGGCGGACGAGCTCGAAGCTCTTTCAGATCATCTCTTAATAGAGATGGAGCTGTCCGTCACCCCCGAGGGCCTGCGGTCCAAGCAACCCCGAATGCAACCCCGACCGGGGAGATGGTCCCTTAACAAACTGGACAGGGAAGCACTGGACATCTCCCTAGAGGCTGCCACCTGGCCACGGCAGGAAGAGGGGCGGGACCTCGACTCTGAGGTTATGGCAATTATGGAAGTCGTCGCGCATGCGTGCGACGAAGCCATGCCCAGAGTCAGGTCCTGCCCCAAAAGGTCCGCCTGGTGGTGGACCGACGCCATAGCCGATCTCCGGCACAAGTCGGTCCACCTCAGGCGGGCCTTTAGGAGGGTCCGTAATGACCCTCACTCGGACCCCGAGGCTGTTCTGGCTGCCCGGAGGGAGTTTTGCCTAGCGGCAGCATCCCTCAGAGATGCGATTGGGGCAGCCAGAGGAAAAGGGTGGGACACCCTCCTCCTCTCGCTGGACGCGGATCCGTGGGGGCGTCCATACAAAATGGTGATGAACAAGCTGAAACCATGGACGCCCCCGCTAACGGAGACGCTCGACCCCCGGTTCTTGGAGCGGGTCATGGGGACCCTCTTCCCGGTCAGGGAAGGGGACCCCATGGGCCCGTACGTTGCACCCACCCCTGAACAACAAGGGGTGGTACCGGGGGTCACCGAGGAGGAGGTGGCCGGGGCCATCAAAAGGGTCAAAAGCCGGAAGGCGCCAGGACCCGATGGAATCCCCGGCCGCGTCCTTACCCTGGCCTCGGGGTACCTAGGCGGAAGGCTCGCGAGGATCTTCTCGCGAGCCCTGAGGGAACGAAGGTTCCCCCCAGTCTGGGGGAGGGCCAATGTGGTCCTCCTCCGTAAAGAGGGCAAACCGGAGGACACCCCCTCCGCATACCGGCCCATATGTCTCCTGGACGAGGCGGGCAAGCTCTTGAGCGCGTCATAGCTGCCCGCCTCGTGGAGCATATGTCCCGGATAGGTCCGAACCTTGACGACGGCCAATACGGCTTCCGGGAGGGACGTTCCACCGTAGACGCGATTCGGCGTCTGCGGTCCCTCTCGGAGGCCATAGTGCAGGAGGGCGGGGTGGCGGTGGCGGTGTCTTGGACATCGCCAACGCATTTAACACCCTGCCCTGGGGTAGGGTGGTGGAGGCCATGGAAGGCCACTTCCAATTCCCACCCTACCTCGTGGCCGTCGTCAGGGATTACTTCCGGGGTCGGCGTCTAGCCTGGAGAGACGCCGACGGCAAGGTATGCGAGAGGGGCATGAGTTGCGGGGTTCCACAGGGGTCCGTTTTGGGCCCCCTCCTGTGGAACCTCGGCTACGACTCTGTCCTCCAAACTGCCCTCCCCCCCGGCTGTAGCATCATCTGCTACGCAGATGATACGCTCATCTTAGCCGGGGGGAGAGACTGGGGGGAGGCCGCAAGAACGGCCAACTTCGCGGTGACATGCGTCGTGCGCTCTATTCGCAGACTGGGCCTGGTGGTGGCGGAAAGGAAACGGAGGCGATCTTCCTCCATGGCAGGAGGATGAAGCCACCCCAGGCCCAGATAAGAGTAGGAAGGGTCAGGGTCCCAATAGAGGCCCAGATGAGATATCTGGGCCTCACCCTGGACGGCACCTGGTGCTTCAAGCAACACTTCAATCGCCTGGTCCCCCGGTTGAGGGCTGTCTCGAGCAGAGTCAGCAGACTCATGCCGAGAACCGGGGGACCGGATGGGAAGGCGCGTCGCCTCCACGCTGGGGTACTAAACTCGGTGGCCCTTTACGGGGCACCGATATGGGCGGAAGCCCTGGCCGTCAGTCGCCCTATACAAGCAACCCTGCGCAGGGTGCAGAGGGCGCTGGCGGTCAGGGTGGCCCGCTGTTACAGAACAGTATCCCACGTGGCGGCGACGGTCCTGGCGAGCATGCCCCCCCTGGAGCTCATGGCCCTTTCGTACATGAGAATGTACGATAGGAAGCGAGAGCTCCTGCGTATGGGGGGGGGGCGGAAGAACCGCTCGCCGGGACAATCAGAAGGATGAAGCACCAGACTCGACAGGTCCTCCTTCAGAGATGGCAGCGATTCCTGGCTAATGCCAGGTACGGAAGGAGGACCGTCGAGGCCGTCCGGCCCTTCCTGCCAGAGTGGGTAGGAAGGGCCCACGGGACCTTGACCTTTAGGATGGCACAGGTGCTCACCGGGCATGGATGCTTCGGTGAGTACCTGTGCCGGATAGGCAAAGAGCGCACGGCGTCATGTCACCACTGCGGACACGACCATGACTCCGCGCAACACACACTCCAGGACTGCCCCGCCTGGAGTGCCGAGCGCGGAGTCATGGTCAGGGCCTTGGGCCAGGACCTCTCACTCCCGGGGATAGTCGGGGCGATCCTCGGGAGTGAGAAGAGATGGGATGCGTTCTCCTCCTTCTGCGACTCGGTAATGACGCAGAAGGAGGAGGCTGAAGAAGCGCGGAGAGAGGCAGAGGGTAGGGGAAGGAAGCGGCGGCGGCGGAGAGACCCCCCGCCAGTGGAGGGCGGGGAGAAGCAGGAGTAGGGAGGGGGATGTTGATTCCTCGGAGGAGGATGAGCTCAGGAGGATGGTGGGCCAACCACCACCTCCTCCACCTCCTCCCCCCCTCCCCCTCCTGCTCCCCCCAGGCACCAGCAGCGAGACGGGGTACCCGCAGGGGGCACGGTGCCCCCCGTGGAAACCGGAGAGGAGTCGGAGACGGAAGGGTGGCGGTGGTGGTTTTGCGCCGCCTCACCCCTCTAATGGTGGCGGCAGCCATGCTGACCGCCCCCCCAGCAGCAGGGGTGACTGCGGCGCCACCACCGCCGCCACCCCCCGCTGTCCCACCAAGGGCAGCGACGACGGGAGAAGGTAGCGGGTGGAGGGCCCGGCTCAGGCCTAGGCCCTACACCCGCAGACCGCCGACCCCATCGAAAAAAGGGGTTGGATGAAAGTAAGGGGGGGAGAGGGCATCGATGATAAGGAATCATCGAAACAAATGCCCCTCCCCCCCTTAATCGCAAGTCCGACAGACCAGTCGGACATGCGGGAGGGGGGTCGCTAGGACCCCCCGCCCCATTCCTCCGCGGAGGTGGGGAGAGCCCGGCGGCTAGGGGAGTAGATCTCCCCGCAACCGCCGGGCGGGAGGGTGGGGCACCGGGCGGGGACTCCCGGTGCCCCAACCAGCCCTCCCAAGGTAGGGTGGCTGGCTGATGCGGTGGGTCAGTCAGTCACACAACGTGTTTTGGCGGCGCCTCGTCTGGTCGGGAACGGTGGTGAAGCGGGCCTCGGCCGGCTTCCCCCCTCCCGACCGAAGAGACGAGGCGTGAGGGGTGGGAAAGGGGAACGGCGGTCGAAGCGGGCCCTCGGGCCGGCTTCCCCCTTCCCCTGGGGGAGCGGCGGTCGAAGCGGACCCTCGGGTCGGCTTCCCCCCTCCCCCCACCCCGCCCCTCAGGGACAGAAGGTGCAACATCTGGACTCGGGGCCCCGATCAGCAGTTACACGGCACCGGGGCCCCGAACCAAGTCCCTTCGCAGCGCCACCCGGGGAGGTTTTAGCCGGTAGGAGTCCGGCATAACCCTGGCCCTTCCCCGAGGGTCAGGGTATCCATGATGGATTTCCTCCTCGTAAAAAAAAAAAAAAAAAAAAAAGGTTAGGTTAGGTTTCCTCTCAGGCGGGCCTTTAGGAGGGTCCGTAATGACCCTCACTCGGACCCCGAGGCTGTTCTGGCTGCCCGGAGGGAGTTTTGCCTAGCGGCAGCATCCCTCAGAGATGCGATTGGGGCAGCCAGAGGAAAAGGGTGGGACACCCTCCTCCTCTCGCTGGACGCGGATCCGTGGGGGCGTCCATACAAAATGGTAATGAACAAGCTGAAACCATGGACGCCCCCGCTAACGGAGACGCTCGACCCCCGGTTCTTGGAGCGGGTCATGGGGACCCTCTTCCCGGTCAGGGAAGGGGACCCCATGGGCCCGTACGTTGCACCCACCCCTGAACAACAAGGGGTGGTACCGGGGGTCACCGAGGAGGAGGTGGCCGGGGCCATCAAAAGGATCAAAAGCCGGAAGGCGCCAGGACCCGATGGAATCCCCGGCCGCGTCCTTACCCTGGCCTCGGGGTACCTAGGCGGAAGGCTCGCGAGGATCTTCTCGCGAGCATTGAGGGAACGAAGGTTCCCCCCAGTCTGGGGGAGGGCCAATGTGGTCCTCCTCCGTAAAGAGGGCAAACCGGAGGACACCCCCTCCGCATACCGGCCCATATGTCTCCTGGACGAGGCGGGCAAGCTCTTCGAGCGTGTCATAGCTGCCCGCCTCGTGGAGCATATGTCCCGGATAGGTCCGAACCTTGACGACGGCCAATACGGCTTCCGGGAGGGACGTTCCACCGTAGACGCGATTCGGCGTCTACGGTCCCTCTCGGAGGCCATAGTGCAGGAGGGCGGGGTGGCGGTGGCGGTGTCCTTGGACATCGCCAACGCATTTAACACCCTGCCCTGGGGTAGGGTGGTGGAGGCCATGGAAGGCCACTTCCAATTCCCACCCTACCTCGTGGCCGTCGTCAGGGATTACTTCCGGGGTCGGCGTCTAGCCTGGAGAGACGCCGACGGCAAGGTATGCGAGAGGGGCATGAGTTGCGGGGTTCCACAGGGGTCCGTTTTGGGCCCCCTCCTGTGGAACCTCGGTTACGACTCTGTCCTCCAAACTGCCCTCCCCCCCGGCTGTAGCATCATCTGCTACGCAGATGATACGCTCATCTTAGCCGGGGGGAGAGACTGGGGGGAGGCCGCAAGAACGGCCAACTTCGCGGTGACATGCGTCGTGCGCTCTATTCGCAGACTGGGCCTGGTGGTGGCGGAAAGGAAAACGGAGGCGATCTTCCTCCATGGCAGGAGGATGAAGCCACCCCAGGCCCAGATAAGAATAGGAAGGGTCAGGGTCCCAATAGAGGCCCAGATGAGATATCTGGGCCTCACCCTGGACGGCACCTGGTGCTTCAAACAACACTTCAATCGCCTGGTCCCCCGGTTGAGGGCTGTCTCGAGTAGAGTCAGCAGACTCATGCCGAGAACCGGGGGACCGGATGGGAAGGCGCGTCGCCTCCACGCTGGGGTACTAAACTCGGTGGCCCTTTACGGGGCACCGATATGGGCGGAAGCCCTGGCCGTCAGTCGCCCTATACAAGCAACCCTGCGCAGGGTTCAGAGGGCGCTGGCGGTCAGGGTGGCCCGCTGTTATAGAACAGTATCCCACGTGGCGGCGACGGTCCTGGCGAGCATGCCCCCCCTGGAGCTCATGGCCCTTTCGTACATGAGAATGTACGATAGGAAGCGTGAGCTCCTGCGTATGGGGGGGGCGGAAGAACCGCTCGCCAGGACAATCAGAAGGATGAAGCACCAGACTCGACAGGTCCTCCTTCAGAGATGGCAGCGATTCCTGGCTAATGCCAGGTACGGAAGGAGGACCGTCGAGGCCGTCCGGCCCTTCCTGCCAGAGTGGGTAGGAAGGGCCCACGGGACCTTGACCTTTAGGATGGCACAGGTGCTCACCGGGCATGGATGCTTCGGTGAGTACCTGTGCCGTATAGGCAAAGAGCGCACGGCGTCATGTCACCATTGCGGACACGACCATGACTCCGCGCAACACACACTCCAGGACTGCCCCGCCTGGAGTGCCGAGCGCGGAGTCATGGTCAGGGCCTTGGGCCGGGACCTCTCACTCCCGGGGATAGTCGGGGCGATCCTCGGGAGTGAGAAGAGATGGGATGCGTTCTCCTCCTTCTGCGACTCGGTAATGACGCAGAAGGAGGAGGCTGAAGAAGCGCGGAGAGAGGCAGAGGGTAGGGGAAGGAAGCGGCGGCGGCGCGAGAGACACCGCCAGTGGAGGGCGGGGAGAAGCAGGAGTAGGGAGGGGGATGTTGATTCCTCGGAGGAGGATGAGCTCAGGAGGATGGTGGGCCAACCACCACCTCCACCACCTCCCCCCCCTCCCCCTCCTGCTCCCCCACAGGCACAAGCAGCGAGACGGGGAACCCGCAGGGGGCATGGTACCACACGCGGGTCCCAAAGACAGGGAGACGGAAGGGTGGCGGTGGTGGTCTTACAGCGACTCACCCCCCTGATGATGGCGGCGGCCATGTTGACCGCCCCCCCAGCAGTAGGGGTGACTACAGCGCTACCACCGCCGCCACCCCCCGCTGTCCCTCCAAGGACAGCGACGGGAGAAGTCAGCGGGTGGAGCGCCCGGCTCAGGCCTAGGCCCTACACACGCAGACCGCCGACCCCATCGAAAAAAGGGGTTGGATGAAAGTAAGGGGGGGAGAGGGCATCGATGATGAGGAATCATCGAAACAAATGCCCCTCCCCCCCTTGATCGCAAGTCCGACAGACCAGTCGGACATGCGGGAGGGGGGTCGCTAGGACCCCCCGCCCCATTCCTCCGCGGAGGTGGGGAGAGCCCGGCGGCTAGGGGAGTACATCTCCCCGTAACCGCCGGGCGGGAGGGTGGGGCACTGGGCGGGGACTCCCGGTGCCCCAACCAGCCCTCCCAAGGTAGGGTGGCTGGCTGATGCGGTGGGTCAGTCAGTCACACAACGTGTTTTGGCGGCGCCTCGTCTGGTCGGGAACGGTGGTGAAGCGGGCCTCGGCCGGCTTCCCCCCTCCCGACCGAAGAGACGAGGCGTGAGGGGTGGGAAAGGGGAACGGCGGTCGAAGCGGGCCCTCGGGCCGGCTTCCCCCTTCCCCTGGGGGAGCGGTGGTCGAAGCGGACCCTCGGGTCGGCTTCCCCCCTCCCCCGCCCCCACCCCTCAGGGACAGAAGGTGCAACATCTGGACTCGGGGCCCCGATCAGCAGTTACACGGCACCGGGGCCCCGAACCAAGTCCCTTCGCAGCGCCACCCGGGGAGGTTTTAGCCGGTAGGAGTCCGGCATAACCCTGGCCCTTCCCCGAGGGTCAGGGTATCCATGATGGATTTCCTCCTCGTCAAAAAAAAAAAAAAAAAAAAAAAAGGTTAGGTTTCCTCCCCGTGGGTGC